AAGAAAAAAGGATGAAATAATGCTCATTTTTAAAAACTCAATGAAAATAAAAGCAATAAACCAAGAAGGTGGCATACTGGTTGTGATTTGATCTCTTCGGGGGATCCAGGGGATCCCCTATACAAGTATTTTAATATTGCAGACTTTCAGTATTATAAGTGATACTGATATTATATAACACTTTTAATTAAGCAGGTGCCTTGAATAAACATAACTTTGAGTTTCAAATAATACTGATTTCGTTGTTGTCTTGGGTGACGTTTGTGAAAAAAATTCAGGTGCTCAGGCATGAAAAGGTGCCGCTCAAACACTATACTTTTCTGCTCACACTGAAAAAAAATTAGAGGGAACATTGATGGGGAGCCCAGATTCTCTTAACAACTGTCGGATTCACTTAACAACCATGGCAATTCACTTAACAGCCATGCTAATTCCCTTAACAACTATGACAAAAAAGTCATTAAATCAGCCATGACTCACTTCACAATCACCTCACTTAACGACAGAAGTTCCGATCCTAATTGTGGTTAGAAATCAAGGATTACACGTATTGTATGGAATATCTCTGGACAAGCCTTTCTATTTTAAACACAAGCCACTCAAACGTTTGGTAGTCTGTTTGATTTTGGATATCCCAAAGGTGCTTTTTCAAGAGATATGTGGACTTTCTGCTTTTTCTTTGAAGACATTTCATTTCTTATCCAAGAAGCTTCTTCAGAGCTGAAGAAGCTTCTTGGATGAGAAGCAAAACATCTTCAAAGAAAAAGCAGAAAGTCCAGTTGGATGACTGAGAATCTCCATAGACATTGATTTTGGTAGTTTATTTGATCATTGGAACTGATGTAAACACTTAGAAACTATATTCTTGAAAATCAAGACCATAGGAAAATTCCCTTAGAGGGGAAAAAAGTTTTTTTTTTTTTTTGAAGTGCCTTTGGTGGGGATTATGGTCACTTTTTTGTTTATTTAGGAAGCTATGCAGAATTGGACTTAGTTTGCCATTGGCTGAGTGCCCATCCGAAAATCCCCATAGGTTAGTCCGGGAATTTGAAAAACCGCCTAGAGAAAGGCAATGGTAAGCCTGTGTTATTTCCAAGAAAATTATATGGATTCAATTATCATTAACTAGCTTGGCACAAGGGCATATTTACTACTTTAAATCAATCTAGTTCCAGCTTGTGTCAGTATTACATAAAGTCAAACACAAAACTCTTTTTCATAGAGTTTTCAAAGAATGGAATAGAACAGAATTCTTTATTGCCAAGTGTGATAGGTAGTTGATAGATGCTGCCTGCTTTGAACTAGCCTTCTGTTTTGCATAGAATAGATGGAATAGAATAGAAGAGAAGAGAATAGAAGAGAATAGAATAGAATTCTTTATTGGCCAAATGTGATCGGACACACAAGGAATTTGTTTTTGGTGCATAAGTTCTCAGTGTACATAAAAAGACAAGATACATTTGTCAAGAATCATAAGGTACGACACTTAATGGAATTGTTGCAGAAAATGACAGGCTTTAGACTTCTCTGGATACAGGAAAAGTTTATTTGGCAGCCAGGTTCAGAAAGTTAGCGAAATGGCTAACATGGCAAATTCTGAACAACTTTCAACATCAAAGCACGCGTTCTTATACATTCTGCAGATGACAGACTCAATAATTCCTTTGTAGAACTGTTTCAGCAGCTCAGATAGTATGAACATCTGCATTTACTCTCTAAACATAGATTTATTCTCGAAAATTTGCATTTCCCCTAAAGTACTCCTTTTTATCAATATTTGCCTAAAATATAGATGCTTGTGCACATTGTCTTCCAAAAAAAAGTGAAATGAAAAACGTGGAGGAATGTGAAATATGGATAACTATATTCTGATTTATGAATCCTGGAATGCAAATGAACTGCTTTGTTTTAAAAGAAGAACACACAGGCAACAGCCTCATCTGAGACTTGGTTGCAGTTCAGAGCTCCTGAAACAACTGGCAGTGATGTAATTTTAATATTCCAGAAGGGGATAATTGTTAAATACATGGGGAACAATCCTTTCAACTCTATTCAATTAATTTTTGCTAAGTTTTAATTAGGCTTTAATTTAAATTAAGTTTTAACTTTTTCTTGGCTGGCCCACCCAAATTCCAAGGATATTTTGGTTGAAAGTAGGTTACGTAGCCAGTTTCAAAACAGGGTATGAATCCATTTTTCCATGGTTCCATTTTATGGACCAAAATCAAAACATCATAGAACAGAATAGAATATTCAGAGTAGAGTAGAATAGAACAGAACAGAACATAGAATAGAATAGAATAGAATAGAATAGAATGTAGACTAGAATAGAATAGGAATAGAATAGAACAGAACAGAATGTAGAGTAGATAGAGTAGAGTAGAACAAAACAGAACAGAAAGAACAGAACATAGAATACACTAGACTAGACTTGACTAGACTAGACTAGAACAGAACAACAGAACAGTATAGAGAGTAGAGTAGAATAGAACAGAACAGAAAGAACAGAACATAGAATACACTAGACTAGACTTGACTTGACTTGACTAGACTAGAACAGAACAGAATAGAGACCAGAGTAGAGTAGAGTAGAGTTGAATAGAACAGAAGAGTAGAGTAGAAAAGAAAAGAAAAGAATAGGAAAGGGAAGTGTGTCTTATACTCTGAAAAATATGGTAATTAGATATTCAGCAGAGTGATGGCACAAGGGAAAGAACCTGTGTTGTTTTGGTATACAATGCCTTATAGTGGAGTCCCGAGGAGAGGAATTGAAACAGGATGTGAGAGGTCTGTAGATATTTTCACAGCCCCCTTTCTGAGTCATGCAATATGCAGGTCCTAAGTGGAAGGCAGGTTGGTTGCAATTGTTTTTCCTGCAGTCCTAACTATCTGTCGGAGTCTGTACCTGTCCTGTTTGATTGCTGTGCCAAACCGAACAGTTACAGAAGTGCAACTCAATAATTCAGAGAGACTCAATAATTCCTCTGTAGATATGTATCAGCAGTTCCTTGGGCAGTCTGAGCTTTCTGAGTTCGTAGTTGCCAAAAGAATACATTTCTTATCATCCCAAACTTTCTCAGTGTGAATTTTGGTGAAATTCCGAGAAAGCAGAAGGGAAAGGAGCTGCTACAACCAACTGAAAGTCTCTGCTTTGTTTCTCTCCCACCCGGTGTCTCATCCAGCATTTTTCAAAGGATTATTGTTTCACAGACTGCAATAGAAACAGACTGTGGTAAATTACAGATTAGGTTTCAGCTAAAGAGGAATGGAACGGATTAAGGAGGAACAAATTGGTAAACCGGAACTGAACAGATTGTGCTTTCTTCTTGCAGATCTGAGGAGCGGAGTCTCCGAAGTGTGATGGGCCGTGATCGAGAAAGATGCTTGTGAACGGTTGACTGGATGTTTCTGGCCTTCTGAAACCTCCTCAGTGCAGAGAACGATGGCAACCAGCCTGACTTCAGAAGGAAGCGTATTGGAGACGGGGAAAGTCCTAAGATGATCCGATGAACCCATGGGAGGGCCTAGCGGGAAGCCAAGGTGGGGCTTCAAAGCTGTTCTAAAGGCGTAAACGGCTCAGTTTCCTGGAAAGGGTATGGCCAGATCCTTTTTCAGACCACAAAAGTTTCTTCGGAGGACCCAGTTTCTGCTCTTTTTCCTCACAGCCGCTTATCTGATGGCAGGCAGCCTTCTCCTCCTACAGCGATCTCGCTTGATCCTCCAGCAAGGCTCCCGGGGCTTCTCCAGGAATCAGGGCCTACCGGTTGCGGAGACTTTGCCGGGGGATGCAAAGGCAGAGAGCAGACCAGTTCAGATGCCTCGCCTGACTTCTAAGCTTCTTGTCAACATGCACACAGTGTATGGGTCCAACCCGGACCAGAAAGATGGACCACGGTGGTTGATCTCCAGAAACTCTGAATTGAGACAGTTACGGAGACGTTGGTTTCTCCGATTTGTAAATGACCAAGAACCTGTTCTGGCTTCTGGAACAAAAACACTAAAGCACACCTCCAAAAACAAAGGTAAATCTGATTTGTGCTAGATTTTGCAGAAGCATTTCAGAAAGGAGACATAGATACATTGAAATATCTTCCGTAGGATGATGATATGATGATGATGATGATGATGATGATGATGATGATGATGATGATGATGATGATGATGATGATGATGATGATGATGAT